GTATTTTGAGTAGAGACGGGGTTTCCCTGCGTTAGCCAGGATGGTCTCGATCCCCTGACCTCGTGATCCGACCGCCTGGGCCTCCCAAAGTGCTGAGATTACAGACGTGAGCCACAGCGCCCGGCCGAGTTTCCATTTTAATAGGGACCACATGAGGAAAGTCCAGAGAAGATGGGAAGATGGTGCTTAGAAGAAAACAAGCAGAGTATTATTCTGGAGCTGACACAGGGGTAGGGGTGGCAGTGAAGGAAAGTTGCTCTGAGCAGGTGACATCCAAGCAGAAATCCAATTGAATCCCTCCTTGTAGGAAAAGATGACATGATAGGAAGGTCAAAAAGAAGGTCAGGGCTCGGCGCGGTGGCTCACGCCTGTAATCCTAGCACTTTGGGAGGTGGAGGCAGGCAGATCACGAGGTCAGGAGTTTGAGACCAGCCTGGACAGCATGGTGAAACCCGGTCTCTACTAAAAATACAAAAATTAGCTGGGTATGGTGGCATGCATCTGTAGGCTCAGCTACTCGGGAGGCTGACGCAGGAGAATCGCTTGAACCCGGGAGGCAGAGGTTGCAGTGAGCTGAGATTGTGCCACCGCATTCCAGCCTGGGTAACAGAGCGAGACTCTATCTCAAAAAAAAAAAAAAAAAAAGTTCAGGCTGGGCGCGGTGGCTCACACCTGTAATCCCAGCACTTTGGGAGGCCGAGCTGAGCAGATCACTTGAGGTCAGGAGTTCAAGACCAGCTTGGCCAGGGTGAAACCCTGTCTCTATTAAAAATACAAAAATTAGCCAAGTGTGGTGGCACGCACCTGTAATTCCAGTTACCTGGGAGGCTATAGGAGAATCTCTTGAACCCAGGAGATGGAAGTTGCAGTGAGCCAAGATCACACCATTGCACTCCTGCCTGGGCAACAGAGCGAGACTCTGTCTCAAAGAAAACAAAACAAAACAAACAAACAAAAAAGAAGGCCAGTCTGATGTATTCACTCAAACATGCATTTGGTGGCACTGAAGCTTCAGATTTGAGCTAAGGCTCTGGGCTTGGGCTTCCAGAAGCTTCAGGTGTCGTGGGAGAAGAAAGACCCACAAACCACTTAGAGTTTGACAGAAGTCACAAAGACTGAGAAAGGGGTCTGCTAGCTCTGCCAGGGACTGTGGGATAATCAGGAAACAGTCACAGAAGAGGTGCCCTTGGAGTTAGGTCTTGAGAGCTGAGTTCACCACATTGAGAAGGGGGAAGGGCATTCCATGCAGATGCTTGAAGGTGAGAAGTAACCTTGTTCTGAAGATGAATAAGATTGGTC